CTTCTTTAAGATGACACGTTCAAATGCCAAACGGCCAACTGGAGCCACTGGGGCTCTGGATGACGAATGGCCCCTTGGCACAGAACCACTCGATGAGGAGGGATCACCCACGGGTCGGTTACGGAAAACTCCACCAGGTCCGCGAACCATGGTCTGCGTGGCCAACGGGGCGCCACAAGCAACACTTCCGCCCTCTCCGCAATCATCTTCCTGATCACCTGCTGGATCAACGTGATCGGCGGGAAGGCGTACAGAAGCCCGGCCGGCCACCGACACCTCAGTGCGTCGACGTCCTCTGCCAACGGAGACGGGTAGCGAGAGAAGAACCGGGGCAGCTGGGCGTTGGCGGGACTGGCGAACAGGTCCACCACCGGCTCCCCGAAACGAAGAGAGGCCTCCTGGAACAGCCTCGGAAGCAGCTGCCACTCGGCTTGATCGATCACCTCTCTGCTGAGCCAGTCCGCCCGCGTGTTGGCCGTGCCCGAAATGTGGTCCGCTCGAATCGACAACAGGTGACGCTCCGCCCAGTTGAACAGTCTCTCCGACTCGAGCATCAACACCCGTGACTTCGTCCCCCCTTCTCGGTTCACGTGTGCCTTGGCAGACGTGTTGTCCGTGAGGACCAGGACGTGGCGACCCTGGACCAGGTGTCCGAAGTGGAGCAGGGCAAGACGGATCGCACGAAGCTCGAGCAGATTGATGCTGAGTATCCGTTCCTCTGGGGTCCACTGCCCCTGGGTCACCTGAGCACCCAGATGGGCCCCCCAGCCGTGGAGACTGGCATCGGTAGTCACTATGATCCGGTTCGGCTCCAGAAAGCTGCAGCCCTTCAGGAGCGCAGATGTCTTCCACCAACGGAGTGACAGTCGGACTTGGGGGCTCACGAGCACCCTCCTCGTAGAGTTGGAACAGCCCTTCCGCTGGAAAGGAAGTAGAAGCCACTGCAACTGGCGAGAGTGTCTGCGAGCCCACGGTACCACTCGAAAACAGGAAACTAGCTTCCCCAGCAACTGTGACAGAGTCAGCAGAGACACCGACCTCCAGCTCAGGACCTGGTCCAGCAACCTCCGGATGCTGCTCACCCTCTCTGAAGACAGGAACACCTGCCCTTTCACGGAGTCTATCACGGTGCCAAGGTGCAGAATCGAAGTCGAAGGAACGAGTTGACTCTTTTCCAAATTTACAGTGAAGCCGTGCTCTCGGAAGGTGGAAAGCACGTGTTCTATGTCGTGCGCTGCACGCGCCTGGGACGACGAGAGGACGAGAACATCGTCCAGGTAACACAACACTCTCACCGGAACCGCACTGAGCGTTGCCGCCACCACTGCCACCAGCTTGGTGAACGTTCTGGGAGCCGAAGAAAGTCCGAACGGCATTGCACAGTACTGGTAATGCTTGCCCGCATATTCGAAGCGTAGAAATTGTCGATGAGAGGGAAGAACTGGAACATGGAGGTAGGCCTCCCGTAAATCCACCGACTGTAAAAAGTCCCCTTTGCGGACCGAAGCCAGAATCGAACGAAGGGAGTGCATCTTGAAACGACGATAGCGCACCGCTAGATTCAAGTGCTTGAGATTGAGAATCCCCCGGACGCCTCCCGAACTTTTCGGCACCAAAAACAGGATCGAGTAGAAGCCGGTCCCTTGTTGATTTAGCGGAACCGGTTCTATCGCCCTGATCTCGAGCAAGTGTGAAATCTCTGCCGCCATGAGACGCCGACGGTCGGCTGCCAATGGAACTGGACACCTGATGAAACGGCGAGGAGGGGATTCGGTAAATTCGATCGAGAGGCCCTCCGAGATCGTGCGCCGCACCCAAACGTCCTGCGTGGACATCTCCCACCGGCGATGAAATGCTTGAAGACGACCGCCCACAGGACCCGGGATCGGTGAGTCATTTGCCTCTACGGAAAGGCCTGGAGCTGGCCCCACGAAATGGCCGCTTCGACGAGGTCTGAGGTCTGCTGCGGTCTCGGAAACGTTGACGGTCCATGAAGCGGTCAGCCGGCTGAAAGGATTGTCTGTAAGAAGAGGATCCACTCGACCCCGAATAAGGCCGAAAGGACTGGCGCTGAGCGTACGGCACGTAACGTCTGTCCTGCTTGCGAAAGGAAGAGGGCAGCACTTTCCTCTTATCTTTATCCTCCACCAACACCGGATCTAGGGCCTCACCAAACAAATTAGGCGCTTTATACGGAGCTGCCGCCAGCTTCCATTTTGCCTTAACATCGGCTTTCCACGGACGTAGCCAGAAAAGGCGCCGTGACGTGATGGTAGCTGCCAGTGCCCTCGATGCAAATTTGACAGAATTCAGCGACGCATCAGCTGAATATTCGGTGGCTGCAATGATCTTGTTGACATCGTGGCGCAACCTAGTTTCTTCCGGAGGCAGGCGCTCCCGAAGCTGACGCAACCAGATTAACGAGGCGCGATTGAAGAAGGAAGTGGCTGTGGCAGTTTTGACAGTCCAGGCCCCTGCCTGGTGGGACCTCCGGAAGGCCATCTCCGTACGTCTGTCCTCAGACTTAAGACCCTCAAGCGGATCAGACGAAACCATTGATTGAGTAGTGAGGCTTGCCACTGGAGCACCTACTGTGGGTAAGTCCAACAACTTCTCCAATTCAGGAGCCGGACAGAACAGCTTTTTATCCAAATTACTGGGTGCAGTGGACGACCCAGGTTGTGCCCAAGGGGCCTGCAACACTTCAGTGAACAGTTGAGGGCACGGGATAAAGTCTTTTTCCTGCTTAACTTGCTTGAACAAGGCATCATGCAGACCTGTTTCCGACTGTACCTCTGGAGGCTGGGCTCCCACCGACCCCAGGTTCGTGGTCAATCTAGCCTTGTGTAGAAGAGATTTAAACAAGGCCGGACGAAACAGGCCCGTGAAGGCTGGTGAGTCGGGCAGTAATCCCTCGTCCTCAGAGAATTCCGGCTCATCAGCACAATCCTCGTCCTGCTCAGAGCTTTCCGACGTGTCGGACTCTCGAGGAGAAGTTCCTGCCGCAGAAGACTGGGCCATTGTCTGTGCACTCGCTGCCATGATCGAAGCCAGGGCCGTAGAGAGCATTGACTGGAAGTCCATCTGCGACAGAGGAGGGGAGGGCTCCACTGCCCGAAGTCCTGCAGCCGTGGGAGTGAATGTGGCTGATGGTTGTCGCCCAGGACGCGCTGCAGCATCCAGCCCTACTAACGATACATCAGGCATCGACTGTGAAACACCCCTACGTAAAGTTGACGAAGTGGGTTGTGCCATTCGTGTCTCAGACCCTGCTGTGATAGGGGGCGACTGATGGCTTGAACCCGCCTCCCGGCTTGGAGACAAAGCTGCTGCCTGTTTGGCCTTCTCCCATTGCCTCTCCAAAGCATTGTGACGCCTAAGAGCGTCTTTATCTGCTGCAGACGAGCTCTTGGATGAGTGGGCCCCATGACCGCTCGAGCGAGACTTTTTGCCCGACTTTTTCTTGCGGGACTTAGAAGGTCGTACCGGGCTGGCCTCCAGCTCAATATCAGAAGAAAACGAGGAATCGGCCATTGTTTTTTTTTTTTTTTTTTTTTTTTGTTTTTTTTTTTAAGCAAGGCCCACCCCTGCTGAGGTCAGTAACACTGTCCAAAAAGAACTCACAGAATAATGGACTAGCGCTCTGCCTTGGGATAGGCAGGAAGCGTTAAGGCCGACCAAGGGCTACACCAGAATTGGGGGGATATCAAATGGGGCCAGTGAGGTCTCTGGAAGGCCCCCCCCTCTTTTTTTAAAATGTCCCGGCAGGAACACCCCACTAGGGTAGATCCTCGCCTGATCCTGCGTCCAGATGGGCGGGATAAAGGCAGCGGCACAGATGCAGGCCCGACAAAATGGCGGCCGTCCAAACCGTCCAAAATGGCGGCCCCGTTGTAATGGCGCAGCAAACGATCGCGCCTCCCAGGAAAACACTTGCCGCCCTGGCCTCTCCCGGCCGCCACACTCTTGAGCTCCACGCGGAGGATTGGAGCTGCGCCCACCAGCTGCTCAGCGGGGAGACGGCGAGCCACCACGAGCCGCACCGCGCTCCTCCGATTGCCCCTCAATCGGCTGGCTCCAGGCCGCGGGAATGCCTCAACACGCGGCGGCGCCCGTAGAAACTCACGGGACGGACGCCGGAACGGAGCCGAGCTGGAGACGCTCCTCACCTTCGGCTCTTGATCCGCTGCTGCCCCTCTCTATGTGAAGCCGCAATGGGGGAGCGACGGCTAACCGCCCTACCCCCGACTCTCCAGCGGCAAAGTTACAGCCGGCTCCGCCCCGCAGGGACAGAAGCCGGCGGCAGCGAGCGCTCCACGCGCTAGGGTCGGAACGGCCCAGCTCCCCGGGCACGAAGCCGACCAACAGCTGTTTGGGGCGGAATTGAGCAGCCAAAAGTAAAAAGAGACAGAAAACACCTTTAAAGGAACAGAAACCTCCGAAGGGAAAAAAAAAAGGGGGCTAATCAAAAATAAATAAAAACCTCACGCAATCTAGGAGCACAGGAAAAATCCTCCCAGTCTGTCAGCAACTGAGAGAAAGACTGGGGATCTGAGTGCAAAAGGGGGCGTGGTAGGAGCACAGAGTGGGTGATTAATTTAAATATTAGTCCTCTCAGTTGCTGTCAGAGATGAGGATTTTCCCAGTGCTGGAGTGTAGGAGCAGCGTTCTGGAAAATGTGTGAATCCTAGAAGCTATCTAGACCTCTTCTAACTGAGGACACCAGGAATTGAGACCTGCGATATGCAATCAATATACTGTGGTTTTCCCTTTACATTTTAATCTGGCTAATGGCAATCCAGGCTTGTTTAATGCTGGGGGATGGTTGGAAACGACTGCAACATTCTGCAAGTTTGGACTGCTATAGGATAGCATCATTATTCTTAGCCATAAAAGCAGCAAGGGAAGAATTCTAAACAGAGCTACAGTGGACATATTATTAGGAGAGGCGGGGACTCTTATCAGCCAGTGGGCCAAAAAACTTCTCATACTCTCATTACCTGTCTCCCTTTCAGAATATGCTTGGGCACTGGAACTTTAATTTCCAGGTCGCTATAGTCCTGAGACCAAGTGTAGTTTTCTCGCACAGCTCCATTATAACTGTCAGGATTTGCCTGGAATTGTTCCTGTTTCCTAAGGAAAAACAGAGAAAAGAATGAATTGGATCAACATAAGAACATCAATAACCCTTATAAGGAATATACCAGCCTCTAGGAGGCTCTCAGTCCACCTTTACCAAAACCTTTCCCAAGATGCAACTCTTGCTCCTATTATCACCTTTAGATGACGATTTACATCCAGCCTTCTGCACACCTGAAACATTATTGGCTTTTGACTCTCAGTATTATTAGGCAGCAGAATTTTACTGGCTACAGACAGAGATTCAAAACTTTATTCTAATATCCAACATCCAAGGTGAAGAAGCTAGTCTACATCAAGTTCCATTAAGGCTGGCTGATGTGCCATCTTAAAATGAACTTTCTAGCTTTCCCAGAAATAAGACAAGTTTTGACACTCTTTAGTGGCAGAAAGCAACAAATAACAGAAATTGATTATGCTAGACAAGAATAACTGTCTTTATTCAGAAGGTGGCTATGTCTCTTTAGGTTATTCAACTTCACTATCTTCCCCTCCCCACCCCCTCTACATACAGAAACCTTGTCTAGTTCTGGGCAGCCTCCAAGACAAAAGGAAAAGTTAAAAATAGCATAACAAAAGGGTAATGCAGTCAGACTTAGTAACATGGGAGAGAAATCTGTTCTTCCCCAAAGGCAGAATCATAACATGGGGACAGGATAAAACAATGGAACCCCACAAACCACAAAAATTTTGAGTGAAAAACTAACTTTCCCCTCAGTTTTTCTTTTTCCTATGTTTGACATTTGTATTTAATTCTACTATTTAAATTTGCTGAATTATCACAGTGGCAGAAAATACTTGGTCCTGTCTTTTCTGAGTCATTGGAAAATCCAGGCACACTTTCCTTGGTCTGGGGTCATCCAGGGCTGCGATACAGAAGTAGCCTTGGCTTCCTGTAATGGATTTGTGAGAACATTCTTGAGGAATAGGGTGAAGAGATGCTGCCTAGGGAAAGAATGGGATAACTTGCTGCAGGACAACTCACCATGGCCAACTTGACATGGGACAACTTGCTGAGGGACAATTCATTATTTAAAATAATTTTAAAAATAATTTTAATTTTTGTCATTCATTTTGTCCCTCCTTTCGCATCCTTTCTTTAATAATTTGAATCCACAATTTCTTCGATATTAATGCAATTCTTGTCCCGCAGCAAGTTTTCCTGCAGTAAGTTGGCCATGGTGAATTGTCACAGACCTGCCTAGGGAATGGCTGGATAAGAGAAGGCAAAGCCCGCAGCTGCATAAAGGTGCAGAGGAAAAAATCTTAGAAGAGACTCCCTTCTTTAAGCTCTCAGACTAAAAGGGAGATGGTGGCAGATTTGTACTTTTAGACTTGCAAGATTAACGTCAGTGTTTACAGGTAGATCAGACAGGAAACACGACCAGGTGTGCTAATTCTACTTAATTGTAAGGCTACATTAACAGAAAAATTCGAAAGTATAAAATTCACTAAGAGAAGTATGTAACCACTTTTCAGCTTACCAAAACTAAAATGTCAAACATTTTGAAAAGAAATTAACTTGGTTAATCCAAAAGAACTGTGGGTGTTGAACTGCTCAGAAAAAAAAATAAGCCACTTACATAAATTATACCTGAGTAATATTTAAAGTGGGAATTTCCTTTTGTTTCTGTTTAGCTACAGGGATCTGTGTGATTATACGTCAATTCTCACTGGAAATCAAATATAAATTAGTGCATCTGTTTATTATCCTATTACATATTTTAATGAAAAATATTACATTTACATCCCTCTGGTTCTCAAGTGGTCTCCAAATTAAGGGACCGAGCAGAGTTTAGATACCCAGTAATGTTTGCACGCATACATTCATGTATACTCAGTGAGGAGAATTTGTGAAATATCAGAGAAACAAAATGAGGGAAAAGGAGCAAAACAGTAAAAAAAAAAAAAAAGGTAAGTAAAATGTTATCAGGTTATAAGTATTAAAAATAATCTTAGTCACTGCAGATTTATTGTGGATAAAAAAATCAATGTCCATAGAATAACATTTCAAATAAAATTGAATATTAAAGTAATACTGATGTGCAAAATGTATTAGATAGAAGGCACAATAGTGTATATATTAATATATATTGTTAGTGCATGTATGATATGTCCTATGCTTAATAAAAAAAAATAGTGTGCATTTTTAACTACTCCAAAATTACCAAATGGCACCAGGCCAAGGATGGCAAACTCCAGTGATGGCCAGTACTCTGGATAAAAAACAGCTATGTACTTCAAGATACAGTATAATGGAATTAGGTAGAAATACTTTGGTTTAATTCTAGACAGTAGTCAGAACACCAGTTGGAAACAATATCCCATATGTTTACCTTAATGATCTTGGTTCAATATTAAGATGAAATTAATAAGTCCAGCCCAATTTATCTGAAATGTCAAGCAAGTCTTTTGTTTTATTGCTTCTAACAGAAATAAACACAATGGATTTAAAGTTATCATTTAGCCATGTTTGTGCAGAAATACAAACCAGGATCTTAAATAAAGAGAACTGAAATTATAAAGTATAAGAATTAGCTCAATCTTTCAGTTTTTCATAGTAATTGCCAAGGACAGGAATTCACACTTTTAAATAAATACTAAGCCAGAAGAAATGTTTAGGTATTGCTTACCCCTAAAATGATCAGCATTTCAGGACACTCAATGCTCAAACAGCGGATTCAAGATGTTCAAACCATCTGCTCCAAACCATTAACTCAGTTAACTTCTAGTGACAGGCTGAAGTTAATATGAAGTGCAAAACACATAGGTTGCATCTATACTGACCAAACTTAATTGGCTTCTAATGTCCAAGAGGGTTGTTTGTCATAGGAGTAAGTTTATTAAAAATTTATTAAAAATTCAATTCATTTTTCTGTGCTACTGAAACAACTAGGAATTCGATGTCAAGATTAGGAAAAGAAGGATAATAGCAGAAATGGTCTTTCTAGAATGGTTCAAACACGGTTAGAATACGGTGTGCAATCATCTAAAAAAAAGTAGTTTGAGGAAACTAAAATTATCACAGATTAATCATCATCCCTGTGAGGAAAGGCTAAAGAGACCAAACCCTTTCAGTTAAGGGGCAATCAAATAAATAAGGGAGGTGGGAGGTATTTTCCCCTCCTACAGTATTAAAATGAAGGGCCATTCAATTAAATTGACAGATGATAAATCAGAGGGAACCAGCATACGTGGAGTGAAAAGCTTCTAGCATAGAACACAGGTAGCCTTAATTTACGACCACAATTGAGCCCAAAATTTATGTTGCTAAGTTTGACATTTGTTAAGTGAATTTTGCCCCATTGTACCACCTTTCTTACCAGAGTTGTTAAAGAGAATCACTGTTGTTAAGTTAGTAACACGGTTGTGAAGCGAATCTGGCTTCCCCACTGACTTCGCATGTGAGAAGGTTGCGAAAGGTAATCCCATGTCCCTGGGACACTGCAACTGTCATAAATATGAGTGTGACCATGAGGATGTTGCGATGGTCATGTGAAAAACAGTGACAGTTCATTTGTGACCAAAGTTACAATGGCACTAAAAAGTGAGTTATAACCATTTTTCACACTTACGACCGTTGCCATATCCCCATGGTTATGTGATCAAAATTCACATGCTTGGCAACTGACTCATATTTATGACGGTTGCAGTGTCCAGAGGTCATGTGATTCCCTTTTGCGATCTTCTGATAAGTGAAGTCAATGGGGAAGCCAGATTCATTTAACTATTGGGTTATTCACTTAACAACTGTGACAAGAAAGGTAATAAAATGGAGCAAAATTCACTTAACCAATGTCTCACTTAGCGAGAGAAATTTTGAGTTCAATTGTGGTCATAAATAGAGGACTACCTGTACTCAAGATTAACTAAAAACGAAAATTAAAAACTTTCTATAAACTTTGCAATTCCTCTTAGTAAGTTTGTGGGTTGGTACCTTTTTTTGCTCCAGAAGTAATGATACACTTCTGAACACTGAGAATAACAATAATTTTGATTATGCATTTATATAGCAGCTTCTCCAATCTAGTGCTTTTCAGATGATATATTCAGTCGGATGCAAAGTCATGTAAGGTAAATCTAGAAAATGTCAAATTATTTAGCATCTCAAACATGATTGGAAGGGAGCTACAGGCTCAAAGGCAGCATTACTCCGATGAAGCAATACGAGATAGGCTCTTCAACATGATTTCCTTGTGAGATATCCAGAAGAGTTAAAAAACCTCAGATGGAGACTGAGTTATATTTGTGCAGATGGGTAAGTGACAGAATTAGAGGTGTTTATATATTATCTATGAGACAAGACAAATTGATTACGGTATCTCCTTAACAAGGTTCCTCATGGAGGAAATCATACTCTATACAAAATTATTTCTTCCTCAATCGCTACTACCATACACACACTTCACTATAGCCAAGATGAAACATCACAATGCAATCTTCTCTTGAAGAACTCTACTAGCACGAGGACAAAATGCATGTAGAAGCTTCCAGTCCACTTTTCAGTTGTGAAATAAAATCTGGCAGATTCACCCTCCCTTTCTGGCTTTCAATAAGTACAGGGAAATATTCCTTGCCAGCATCAAGCCTCAGATAGCCTTGCAAGACAGACAGCTGATCTCTAGCTTTTTCAAAGCTGTCCAAGGCAGAGTGCCAGATTGTGCAGAGTCTCCCACTCTCTTCCTGGCTGGCAGGAAGTATGGAGCATCGGCAACACTGTCGTTCATATTGAGGAATATGCTCCAATGTGGTGCTTCACCTTTGCTTGTCTAATGCAATTCCAAAGGGAGAGAGAGAGAAAAAGCAGAAGAGAAGTGGGTGACCTGGACCAGAAGCCCTGCTGCTGACTATCAACATTTATCAAAACAATCAATCAAACAACCACAACAACAACCACAACAACAACAAAAGCAGGTTCTGTAATGGTGCAAAAATAAAGAAGGGGCCATAACGGAGTTTACAAAAGTTCTCTCATTGGATCATCATTTCCATGG